ATGCAGACTCAGAACCACAGCACATACATCACTTCTTAGTAAGAAAAAGAGGATTAAGAAAGCAGTGGCAATGACACACAGGAGTGAAGGTTGATTAGCACTTGTTTTGGGACCAAGCTTGGTGGTAGTTGGCCCATTCATCAACGGAACATTCATCACTAAAAGAACACTAATGTGCAAGCTGTGAGCTTAGGAAGGAACAGTGAGGTTACCAGTAGTAATGAGGACACTGAGGTTTAGAGCAATGTATCAGCTGTGCTGGTTTCCTGTACCTGATACTTACCTCTTAAGACATCAGTGGTGTAATCCAGTGGCATGCACTGAGGTGTAAGCTTGTCAAAAGCAACCAGGGAACATGTGAGCTGCTGATATCATGTCGTTGAAATCGGTTGACTTCTGTACACTAACCTCTATTACAGCAATTTAAATTACATGACAAATGAGGATTTCAAGATGTGATCGTGGCTGTATTTGTGTCTGAGATGATACATGGGTAAGGAAGATTCATCTACCAGTGACTAAAGCTCTGCTGGTAATTCATGATCTATGTATCAGATTTACAGCACTGGCACACAGGGTCTTTGTGTGAAAGGGCACTTGTAGGCTAAAACAGTGTTGTGAAGGTGTGAGAAACATGAAGTCAAGCCCAAGCAGTAAGAGAATAGAATAATGAGCACCACATCCATTGTCTGAATCACTAGTGAAGGTTTGCATCAGGTACATGTGGCACTAACTAGTCACTGGAGCTTGCATGTATGCTTAGCACAGGAATAACCAGTTAGCTGACTGGAGAGTGAACAGAAAACGTTGCACAGAAACAACAGCCTAGAGTGTATAGGGCAGGGAGCAGGAGCACAAATTGTTTGTTATAATTTGCAGGTTTGCTTCATTTTTGCTGCCTAATCTCCTGCATGAAGCACGTTATTAACTTGGTTGCCCTATGTAAAGTAAACTGTGTCTGCATGATGGATTCTCTAAAGGTGTGCAGTTGGGTCAGACTGAGAGAGTCTGGTCCTTTGAAGAGATGGGATAAGAAACACCCTCTGGAGCAGGCAAGTAGGAGAGCAAAGGAATGAGAAAAGTTGGTCTGGTACTTGGTAGGATCACAAAGATGAGAGATTTCTGAAGCCTGCAGAGGGCATGAAGACATTGTATGGGAGAAGTATCTATAATTAAAGGGTATTGAGGAATCCAGCTCATTTGGCAGGCACACACAGCTGGCTTTGGCACACAGATGTGTGTGGTGCTGAGGGGCACAAGCTTGGAGGAGGGGATTCTGAGCCCTTCACAGCGATCCAGAGACTCAGCACAGATTGCTCTTAAAAGATACCACTGGGGGAGCAGAGCAGAGGTTGTCAGCACAAAGAAGCTATGAAGTTTAAACCTTGCTTAAAAGCCTCTGCAGTCACTTGAAAAGCCTCAAAGAGCCTCGAGGGAAAGATGGCTTTGGGTTGTTGTTAAATGTTCACAAATACTTAAGGCTAAAGCTATGTTGGTAGGTAATGCCATGCAGTAAGAACAGACCTGTAGCATGCCAAAGATGGACCTAGTATCCACACTGTGCATGCCCTGGGTTTAGCAGTAGCAGTCATTTTTCTCCTAGTTAGTATCTGGTGCAGCGTTGTGGTTTTGACTTTTGGCCTGGGAACAGTGCTGATAGCACCAATGTTTTTAGTTATTGCTCAAGTGTTTAGGCTGACCAAGGACTTTGTGAGCCTCATGCTCTGTCAGGGAGGAGGGGAGGCCGGGAGGAAGCAGAGACAGGACACCTCACCCAAACTGACCAAAGAGGTATTCCAGACCACAGCACGTCATGCCCAGGATGTAACTGGGGTTACCCGGAAGGGCTAGGGGATTCCGGGGTTGGAGGAGGTTGGTGCTTGGTCGGGCTGGGGGGGCAAGTTATCTGTCGCCTGGTTATGAGGTGTTGTATTCTCTTCCCTTGTTATCTCCTTTATCATTACTATTATTGGTGGTAGCAGTAGTGATTTGTGTTACACCTTAGTTACTAAACTGTTCTTGTCTCAACCCGTGGGATTGGCATTCTTTTCAATTCTCCTCTCCGTCCCTCCAGGAGTAGGGGGAGGGCAAGAAGGGGGGGTGGGGGGGGGAGTGAGTGAAGAAGTTGCCTGACTGGTTTTAAACCACAACAGTGCCTCAGGGGGTGGGTGTCTGCTTTAGCTGAGTAATACCCCTATGGTCCCTCAGCCTGAGCACTGGCTGGCAGCTCTATGGTGTGGAGTGCATGAGGGGCACCCCTGGAGAGCACCTTTGGGTTGAGCATCAGCTGAAGTGAAGGCTCATTCCCCTGCGGCTTCTCTCTCCATCACCTGAGTCAGTGAAGTGGGGGCCATTCACACGCTAAAAACCACATTCCCAATGCACACTAATGTTGCCTGATGCAACATGAGCATACACTGGAAATGTGCCTTCAGGCCTGCTCGAATTGCTTACACCCAACAAGTACTCCTGACACCATCAGGACACTGGCTCATCTCTCACCTCACCTGCAGGATGCACCTTCAAAGCACTGTACTAATGCATTGGAAAGGGATAACAAAATGGTGGAGAAAAGAGGAAAATGAGGAGACAGAGGATGTGCCTTCTCTTCTCCCCTCTTTTCCTCCAGAAAGCACTGAGATGGGCAGGAGGGAGAGCAGCCCCCACACCTTCCTCTGCTACAGAAGCTGAACCCCTATTTACCACACGCTTGGCGGATGCTCAGACCATCAAAAGCTGGAGGATACCCTGAGGTGAAGCTCTATTGATGTGTATTACTTTGAACCAATGAATATTTCATCACTGGAGAGAGAGAGAATATAAATCAATAATTCAGGAGTAAGGAAATGGAAGGAATGGGTTTGAACCACTGCTGGAGGATGCATTTCACTTTTTGAAACACTTAAAATCTGTGCTTTATTCGAAGACCATCGTAATTCTATCCACCTACAGTCTTTTCAATACAGTCTTAAAGCCACTATACTCATCAGAGGAACAATCATCCCATCCCTCTAGCAAATAACCAACATTTAGCACAAGATTTCAAACCACAAGCTTCCTTCTGGAGGTCATCTCTGATCCAGCCTCCCTCTAGAGGCAGGGGGAGAGGGAAGAGAGAGAAAACAGGGCTGGGAAACACCGGGAGAGGAAAGAACAATTTAAGAGTTCATAGAATGATCACCATCACAAAGAGGGAGGCAATGTAGTTATGTGCAACAGCAGTGATATTTTGCTCTGATTTCATTTTGAACTAAGCCTTGAAGAAAACAAGGAGATAGAGGATTGAAGAACAAGAGGAGATAAAAGATTACTGATACAGGAAAAATAATGCTAGGCTGCTGCTTCTGAAACTTTAAGCTGAGATCTCAGTTTGAAGTTACAAATATCTGGAATTTCTGGAATTCCAAAGGGCTTAGAAGAAGCTCATTTTGCCAAACCCATTTCTGATTGCTTGGAAATACTGGCTCAAACTATTTACTGCTCACAAAAATATGTTTTGAAATCGTTGTGACATCTTGTTTCCAAAAGCTTGCACTTCAAACCAAAACCTCCTGGTAATGGGGGTTAGAATGCCTTTATTGCACTAAACTTTAGGGCTAGTTTCTGAATGTGTAAAATGTTGATATCAAAGTGAAACGTTTTACCTCACCACTCTACTTTGTTTTTAAATATGGATTGATGCTCCTTTTCTATGTGACTTGTTTTTCTCCTGACAAATGGCACAAAATGTTTTTCCTAAGCTGCTCTCACCCTTTGTGGTAATCTGCCCAAAAACAGCAACATGCTGTGTTACTGGAAGTGGCAGGACACTGGATTGATGCACATTTTCTTCCATGGACAGCACTTAAAATGTTTATCCTATCCTACAGGGAGAGAACTTCTTTATTATCTTGGTTTTAAAGACAAAATATCACCCATATGTACCACCAGCTTTTTCAATTCCTTTGTGAAACTTGCACTGCTGTATGTGCTCGCTTGTTCCACAAGAAGCAGAACAAAGGCTGGAACATCTCCTTAGATTTTCCCACACACAAAAAAAAAAAAAGCATGGCCTGAGGTGTGTTTATTTTGGTGAATGCAAGAGTACATGCAGAAATAGGTTAACTTTAAGCTGACAAGGCAGGGTTAGATATTAAGTAATTAAGTTTGTGAATAAAATTCTGACAAAGAAGTAGCATTTGGATATCCCCCCTGGGGTTTTCACAGGAGACATATTTCTTTTTACGGTGAAAGAAAAGACAAAGATACAAAGTCATCAAATAATTCAGTATCTGGCACAGCTGGGATCAAGCTGATGCTCTTAGACACCAACCTACAGCTTCTCCAGTGCTGTATTTTATTGATACCCCATGGAAAACCTGGGGGCTTTTAGCAGGCAACAGGATCAAGCCCACCAGGCAGTACCCTCCACATCCCTCATAGACAAGCCTGAAATGTTTAGGTGTATGTGGGATTAACACCTGTAGATGATTTTTTTACGCAGCTCTACTTCCAAAAAGCAAATTGTTATTTGAGGAGGAATTGATCTTTGTTCATTTTAAGCACCTTTGGTATAGATGTGGCTATAGACCAGGACCTGCATCCAGTCTAGGGCTGATGTGGCCACCTCAGATGGTCACCTCACATCCCTTTATAAGGAACAGAGAGAAAAAGGCACTTTAGGGGTGCAGCACATCCAACCAGCCAGCTGAACCGCTGCCCAGAAGGTATTGGCAAGTCCTGCTCACAAGTAACGACTGTGGGCTCTGATGCTTAGAGGAATCTTGCCCTGTCTGAATGGACTGGTGTTAAATTAAGAGAATAAAATAAACAAACAGAACTCTTAAGTGCTTTCTGAGGCTTTCCCAGGTGCTCTAGCATCTTGGGCTAACCAGTCATGGTGTGACTGCCCTCAAGACTGGGTGAGCTGGTAAGTCCTGAGGGTCACACATGTCTCTGTGGCTCCTCTGCAGTCATGTGTTTGTTTCTTTTAATGCTCCTTCAGTTAATTTTCTTTGCAGATTCATTCACGGGACTCATAAACATAATGACTGACATTATTTGGCGCTACACTGGAGATTTCATGGCTCCTGATATCGTTTGCAGAGTCGTTCGCTACTTCCAGGTATAGAAACGTCATGCTCCCACGTATGCCCAACCTTGTGCAGCTTTGTGTAGACATTTTGTTAGCATCAGAAGCGCTAAATGCTGAAAGTGTTCATTTAAAGTCAAAACAATTGAATTAAAGCACATTAAATCTTTGTGGACAAGATGAAGATGAAAATACATTGAGGGCTTTTTTATTGCTCTTTCCATTTATTTTCACTAAAAGTTTTCAAATATCCCTAGGTCAATGTTCTTGGTGACATTGTTTTCTGCAATAAATGTGTCTCAGCTGCTGTCTCATATACCTTCTGCCCCAGGTGGTCCTTCTATATGCCTCGACTTATGTCCTCGTGTCGCTAAGCATAGACCGGTATCATGCCATAGTTTACCCAATGAAGTTCTTACAAGGAGGTAGGAGAATTTCTGCACTTTGCTATTGCTGTAGATATTATTGGGTAGCTTTTTTGCTTCAAAATTTGTAACCTTTCTGCCATGAATTATTCATTCCTGCTATAGCAACATTTAGACTCAGGTACAGTTTTCTAACTTGCAAAGTAGCTGAGGTTTCAAGATTTATTAAGCCCTTCACAGTTTTTATAAGCATTGTGTTAGCAAAGAATAAAATATCATTTTAAAAAGTGTAGAGGTTTCCATTATCTCCCAACATTTTTAGAAGGTTATTGTGGGCAAAGGCTATCCCTCTTACCAGACCCACTCTAGGAGCTGCAACAGCTATATTGTATGTTTATTCACATTTAAACATAACTTGGATTGAGAGTGTAGTACTGAGAATTCATGCAATAGTCTGATAGAACTTCAAAAGCTATAGCATGTAAGTCTGGATATCTATTGTTTCTTGGAATGTTTTCTATTTGTTATTTTTACAGCACTCAAATATATGCTGGCAGCTTAGCAGTACAATTTAAAGAACATGATTTCTTTCCCACAAAGCCAAAGTGAGACATTAAGTATGTTGCACTGAGTGAATAAACAGAAGTAACAGGTGGGGAGGAAAGGCAGTGCTTATGAGAACCATGAGGTCTGGAAGAACCACTTTAATCAGATGCAAATATCATTCCTGATTTGGAGTAATAATGGCTTTTGCCAGCCTGCTCTATTCAGGGGATCAGATTAATGGTCCTTTCTGGCCTTAAAAGCCTATGACTCCATCACAGTTGAGGCAGTGGTGCAGCTTTGGCAGATGTGAAGGCCTGAAAGCTTCAAATACTTCTGTGAAATTTAGCCTCCTATTCCCCAGGGTATGGGCTGACTTTTCCAGAAAGGGGAGATTGATATCAAGGTTTTCTCAGCTGCCTTTGGGGGGCACAAAACATTCTGCAGCTCCTGCTGATGCTGTACCAGGCTGGGGAGGTCGAGCTGTGCAACAAACCCACTGGCATCTCTTCTTCATACATTGAACAGGAAAAGCAGCTCCTGCCTGGGCTTGGTAAAGAATTTGGTGGTTAATCTGTGCAAAGCACTTCGAAATCAACATAAAAGCCCAACAGCCACCTCAAATCTTTATAAAAACCTTTTTTTTTAAATTCAGTCTCATTCCCTATACCTATAGTATATAGATGTTTCCTTTCTTTTTCACATTTTCTATACCTATCCCATAAAAATGTTTCCTTTCTTTTCCCCATTTCCTATACCTATACCATAAAGAATTTCTGAAATACTGGAAAGAGCGACGTTGCACCCAGCTGAGAGGCAGCAGAGCAGAAGGTCATGAGCAAAGATAACACTGACAAAGCCCACATGGCTCTGGCAAGGGCTGGCTACACACTGATGGGACAAGCAAAGACCATGTTCAAAGGGAAAAAGGAGCAGCTGTAAATCCAAAAGAAGTATCTAGAAGTGTCTAGAGAGGTATATTTACCATAGCAACTTCCTGTACCATGCATAGCTTTTGCACCCAGATATTCCTAACAGAGGTGTCACGGGCCTTTGGAACGCCCTCTAAGCTATTCTGTGTACAGAGAACAAAGACAACCACATAACTTTCTCACTGGTGATGACACGGAGAAACCTTAACAACAGTTCTGAGTCAACCTGTAGCTAATTTTGTTCCAAATTGTAAAACTCATCCCTCAAAATGCTTCAACCAAGAAACAAGAGTTGTTTCTCCTTTCCCATTTTAAAAATGATGTTCTGATGTAGCTTTGAAATACCATTTTGGGGAAAAAAAAACAAATCAAAACCAAAAATAAACCAAACAACATTTTGTTTTTAAGACGTCAAGCAATACAGTTGGGGTTGCTGGGGTTCTTTTAGGTGCAATGAGCTATACTTTGCATGGCTTCTAAGAAAACAAAGTTCAACAGTTCAGTAGTTTCTATTTACTTTGTGAACACATAAATGACCACGGAAAGGGCAGATGTGGAAGAATTCTACATTCTAATCCTAACGCTTCTGCTGTATGAGGCACCTAATTCAATAACCAAGGGGTCACTGAAAAGCAAATAAATAAAGATCAAAAAGAAAAAAACCTGAAAAGTTACAGCAGAAGAGATATTATGAATATTTCACCATGTTGAAAGGTACATGCAAACAGTACACAAACTAAGCATTAACAGAAGTGCTTAAGTAAAAGACAAAACCCAAATAGGTGTAGACTGTCCCTTGCCTGGCTTTGAGCTGCAGATCACACTGAAGTCCATCAGATTGATGAGATTCTGGATGCAAAACTTTCCATTTAAAGAGCAATGTTGTTTTTAAAGGAAAATACTGAAACTGGTTGAATAAAACATTGTATTTCAAAGCTGTCATATATTTGATTCCATTTATAATCGGCACAGCTCTAGTTATATGATTTGCTGGCATTTAGACCGTATTAGAGCATTTACAAGAAAACAATATAAAAAAATCCCTCTGCTTGCAAGGCAGGCAATTAATATTAGCCTGATAAAACAAAAAGCTGCTTACCTAAGTGCTATCAGTGCCCTGTTGTCCTGGGTTCAGCACTGATACCATTCTTGCCCAACTCAAATTGAACACTTCTCTCAGAATTATTCTACAGTGCAAAAAGAAAGCATATTATCCAAGTATAATCTTTTCCCCTTAGAAATACACAAGTGGGCCCCACTGAGGCTTATATGTATGTAGTTTAAGCAGCTACCTCACAATCCAAAAGGCCTTTCTGTCAGGAAATGTTTTGTGACAGTCTTAATATTCCTTCTGCTAAGTTTTTGTTCTGCTTTGGGAAACTTTACAGCTCTCCTCTGCCTATGCAATATTTATAGATTTAATCTAACCATCTCACTTATGTAGATGTCATCAGAGTTCCTTTAAGCCCTAGATTAGCAAGATTGTATTTTGTTGAACGTGGGTAGCATTTAAAAATGAGCAAGATAAGTGAATATTTGCAACCGATGTTTTATAAAGCATAAAATTGCTTTTTGAATGTTTCGCCCACATGCTTTCGTATTGCTCTTTGAGCTTCAAGGAGGAAAGACACTTGCCTTGATATGCATAATTTAAAGTGATTTTCTATTTCACACACAACTTTGGGTATTTTGTAGGACAATAAAGTATTTCAGCACCAAAGCTTCCCAGATCAAAAAACCTGCCTCCATCTGTTTCTCTCACAATCTGACTCAGGAGGAATAACTGCTGCTGAAATCGCTGGTACCCTACAAATCAGCCCTTTTCCCCCACACTTTTTGGCTACAGCTATCTGGATTTGAGCCGAAAGATGTACATTTGTGAAAATGAAAGCCTCAGGGCTGTCAGCTCCAACTTATTGATTTGTACAAAACCCCCTTGTTGCCACCAGGCATCATTTAGTTTTCCATTAATTTTCTCCATGTGGCAGTGGAGAAGGCCAAAAATCAAGGGGAAGCAGTAGCCCTAACTTGCCAAGTGTTTTGGGATCCTTCATCTCCTGTTCTTCACTGTAAGGACCAGCAGGATCTCCTAGTAGATGCCTGTTGTGGCAGGTAAAACAGGGCTGAGCACTTGAGCACCAGCATCTGCCCTGTCTCAAGGTTAGCAGTCCACACTTAACAAGACTTAGACATACAACCATTGACAGGAGCTGCGTTTGGTCCCTGCCATGATGCAGAGAACTGCAGGAGATTCACACGCTCGCCAGAGCCATGTTTGTTTGGGGCAGTAAAGTTGCAGCTGGTTGTGCAGCTTTGTTTCAATCCTGAACTGAAGCATTTTCTCTTTCCTGATAGGTTCTTACTTCAAGGTGCATTAAAATGTTTAATTTCCATTCTAAGGAGGACATTTCCCCCATCAGTACATCCAGTATGCTCCAACCTAGTTTACGCTTTAAGTAACCCTTACTCTGTCATCTGTAGCATAAGGGCTCCTTGTTTTCTATCTCTCTGTCCTACTGACCTTCACTTTACTGTGCCATGGTAAGAGTGTGCCGTACGTAGGGCAGGCCTTCAGTCCTTTGCATTCATTCATGATGTCTTGCTGGCACAGAGGAATCATTTACATCTCTTGTTTCTGACTTGCTGTCCCTGACAAGTGTCTTCCCATAGTGTTTTCAGATTCAATGGGCCCTGAGCATCTTTAAAGAATACATGTAAAATACAAGCCTGTAACAACATGACTATTTATCATGTGAAAGAGATGAAATCCCCATTCTCCTTTGCAGTCTTTTCAGCATCAGCACCAAATTTCCTTTCTTCACCCAGTTTCCTCCTCCTTCCTGACTTTCTATCAGTACTGCTACACAGGGCCAGGCGTGCCCACATTAACACTATCTGTTTGATTCTGTTGCACAGAAAGACAGGCAAAAGTTCTTATTGGAGTGGCCTGGAGCCTCTCTTTCCTGTTTTCCATACCAACTCTGATTATTTTTGGGAAACGGCAGCTCTCCAATGGGGAAGTGCAGTGCTGGGCTCTCTGGCCCGATGACTCCTACTGGATACCCTACATGACAGTGGTGGCTTTCCTGGTGTACTTCATTCCTCTGATCATTATCAGGTAAGCCTGAACCACAGTCAGCAAGCATGCAGTGAAAGCTGTCAAGTGTGCAACCAGCTTAATGCTTTAATTTCTACTCATTCATTACAACTTCATTTCCACACCTGCCTTGCAGCTGCTTTGGTTTTTGTCAGATAATGTACAGGTCACTGTACTTGCTCTGCATGTTCTCCATGCAGCATTACTAGCCAGAAACATTATCTCTGAAAGAAAGGATTGAATCTCTAAAGTATGTCCACTTATCTCCGAGCTTCAGGCATGAAACATATCTTTAAAAACTCAGGATGAATGTCTAGTTATTATGACAAAATGTAATTTTAATAAAAGAACAGGAAAACTACACTCAACACTAATTAAATTCAAATTAACTGTAAGTGCTCTCAAGCTTCCTAGTATTAGGAGAGTGTTTCTTCACCAGGATGGGAAAGAAATCTCCAAGTGTCTGAAGCTACAAACAATTCCTGAAATACAGTCAAATCGAATCCTTCCCATTCTGAAATGGGAAAACTGGGCTGCAAATATTGGAGACTGGTTTGCCCAAAATCACAAAGATGATCTGCAGCAGAATCAGTTTTAAACTGAGGTCAGTCAATATCCCAGGCTGTGCTTAGTGATCAGTGAATTTTATTGCCTCCCTCTGGGGTACTGCCACTAGCTGCTGTTAAACAAAAATTATCTAGCCATGAGGAGCTACCAATACAAAAGGAGCAGTCAAAAACAGATGTGGAAGGGGAGTGAGGCTTCTTAACTGGCTTGAACGGCTGCCACTGGCAGTAACTTGTTCTCTGAGCCCTTTACTTTCTTTCCCTTTTATTCTCTTTCAGTAGCAAGGTTACAATAGGAGTGCTTGGTGTTAATTTCTTCTTAGTGGCAAAGTCTTGCTGAGACTCTTCCTTTTCCCCATAATATGGTGACGTGGTGTTAAGGCTGTGAGAATGGAGCTGTGTTTGCATATCCCTTGGATACCTTTCTTGTTCCATCTGCTTTTCCAGCAGGTGATGAGCCATGAGACTCTTATCTGAGTTAACACACCAAATAAGAGTGGGTGGGGGCTTATCTTTTCTAGGACAAGGCTACATAAGCTAAATAGCAAAGGCCATGTTGCAGTTTTAGCTCGTATCCGGTAGTTGTGCTTTGAAGTTTCTTACTGTTTAATCACAGGTATTAGGCTCTGCAGCTCCTAATGAAGCATGTGGTGCTTGAACTCATCTAGCTGACAGGTTGGACAGGGCTTGGAGCAACCTTGTCTAGTGGAAGGTGTCCATGCCCATGGCAGGGGGTTGGAACTGGATGAGCTTTAAGCTCCCTTCCAACCCAAAGCAGTCTGAGATTCTATGACTTTCTGATACAGATTCAACACTGAGCAGTGTTGCTCCCTAGAGAGAAGGGACAATCTTTATACTTTGCTCATAAGACATCGATTTCCTAACTTTCCTTTTCTTTGTGTGTGTCAGAATGCACAGATATAAAAAGCAAAATAATGAAAAATTCTCCTTAAAGAAAGGACATTATAGCAGTAGGGAAAAACTAGTCCCAGGTTGCCCAATTCCTCTTTATTCCTAGACAGGATCACTTCTCTTTGTATATTCTCCTATCTCTTAAAACCAGTCTAGTTTTAAATAAAGCAAGAAATATTCTTGGGAACATGTAAATAAAACTGTGGGTGGATCTGCAGCCCAGCACTAGCAGCAAACAGAATGAACACACAGAGAAGAGGCAAAAAGTAACTTAACTGTGAAAAGAAATAGCAGAAAACTTCGAGGTTTGCTGCTTCTATGACAGGAGTTTTGTCATGAGTTTTCTCAAGTAGCTAGCAATCAGGATATTCTAGGCAGCATTTTAAGCGTTTTAGGAAAAAGACCCATAGCCTGTCCAGTTATCACAGAATCATAGAACATTTTGGGGTTGGAAGGGACCTTCAAAAGTTGTCTAGTCCAACCCCTTTGCAATGAGCAAGGACATCTTCAATTAGATCAGTAGATCAGGTCCCCATGTGTGTGAAGCAGCTCTTCCGCACTCACACTTACAGATCACATGCTTCCTATTGCAGATCAGCCACTCTTTTTTACATGGCATATATACTTGTTTGGTCAGAAAAGGCAAGTTACATAACAACACATTTTTTTAGAGCTGCTGACATTATGCTCCCCTCCCTCCCTGTCAAAGGAAGGTATTCAGACTTGATCAGCTCTGCGACTTGCTTTACAGTAAATCCCCAGAAGCAAGAAGGCAATGAAGAAATGAGGAGAAAGGCATGAAAGCAGCATCTCATGAGATTGCCCTGACAGCTGAGACATGAATAAAGCATCCTACATTTTTTTATGGCTTTAACCTTAAGCAACTTTCACTAGAGAAGTTTATGGCAGGGCAGGAATTTGTAACATTGGCCTTGGAGCCACAGGGCAGAGCAGTGCCCATTGCCTGCCCAAACACATTGCTGGTTTCAGCATACACTGAGACAAATGCTCTTATGCTCTTGCCAGCAGAAATCAGACTTTTGACAGGTAATGTATATATAAAAGGCAGGTAATGTATATATAAAAGGAAATCTATAAACAAAACTGCAACAGCCCTGAAAGATGTAAATACTCAGGATATCTGTTCCCACCACTCCTTCACAACTGGAGAATCAGCAGTTACCAAACAGCCTGTGGTTCTGTGGTGAGTTATTTATCTGATTATAATACAAACAAACAAGACCTGAATAACGGAAAGAAAATGAAAAGCTGTGATTGGATTTTTAACCCTAGCATGTGGTTATCTTTGAGAGCTGAGAAAAGGGGAGAATATTTGTTCTTTTTGTGTAAAAGCTCCCCTCCTCCCCACTCATTGGCACCCAGGAAGAGCCACAGATCCTGCATCAGGTTCTTCTTCACAATGCTTAGTTTGTCCTGTTCTTCCCTTTTATTTAGACGAATCCAACCCTTTTTCTACAGTTGATATTGTCAACTTATCAAAACACAGAAAATTCAGAAAAATTAACTGGATACCTGCAGTAATTATTTCTCTTTTATTCTGGGACAGGTGTCATCAGCTACAACCATAATCATTTCTCCTATGCTAAGATATACCAAGCAAAGCTCAAATGGTATCTGTGATAGTTGAATACCTCCAGAGCATTGCTGAACAGAGGTTAAATACAGCCCAAATCATGGTTACAGACAGCCAATACGTGCACTTGGGCCCCTCAGGTCCTGTGACAGGGACACAGGAAAGCTACTGGGTTTCTGTTCTGTATCACTACTGTGTGCCAAACCAAAATTAAATGCTGGCACTTGAGTATCCAGAAATTCAGAGTCTTTTTAGCTGTTATTCACAACTATCAAACATATTTTTTATATTTTAACCTGATAAATGTAACACATAGGCACTTATCTAATATAATTCCAAATTTATGTATATAAAAAAAAAAAAGAATTGCAGAAGTTCTCTTGAATCACAGAATATCCATCTGCTGTTTAAAATCAAAACTCCAAAGAGAACATTTGCTTTGGAGCAGCAGAAAAATAATTAGATGAGAAAAACCAGAATCAGCTCAAAGGAAAAATATGTAACTAAACCCAAGACATTGCAATGAAATAAAAAATAGATTTAATAGAAGGTATTTGTCTGAATTCAGTCAAATAAAGAGAATAAAAAGACTATTAGTAAAAATGCCAAAGGTAATTTTTTGAACTTGATTAAGTGAGCATGATCATTTTTGCCTGCAATTTCCATTTCTAACTAGAAAAACTTAGATCTTGTGCATATGTTCTGGTATCTGCCCATCTATTCATTTAGCCATTACACATGCTTACAATGGTTTCTTTAGATGAAGTTAAATATGCCTTTTGTCTTTGGATAAATAGTACTGCAAATTAGCTACCATAAAATGACACAGCTGCATCACTTTTGCACAAATAAAGTACAAGGAACAATAGGGAATACTGGATGATAAATACAAGCCATTAGCAGGGGGCTTAAGTGCACTTTTTGCCATGGTAAAGCTCATTTTACTAGCATATACTAAGGCTGGGTGGGACAATATCATAATGCAATCCTTTATTTAAAAATAAATTAAAATCTATTTTTAAAGAATGGGCAGATCAGTAACTCATGTGATTGTTAATATCAACACATAGCTTTTCCAGGAGACATTGTATTTTCCAAACCTAAAACCATCTATGAACTACAAATGAAGATGGAGTGGGACTATTCACGTTAGCATTTGTATGACTAACCATAAGTCAGTTATTTACATGCATAAAGAATGCTGTAATTAAAAATGGAGCTATATTAAAAAACATCATTAACTAATAACATGCTACAATGAACATGCATCTTAGTCCTTCAGAACTTGGATCAAGCTACCAAGCTAAATGGTTTTACAGATGCAAAGAATTTCATTTGCTGAGATTCATCCATAGTCTGAACCATATTCCTATATTTTCCTGCCACCTCTCCAGATACACATTTATCAGGGCTAGAAAAATCCCTGCATTTTTAGATCAACAGCATGTCCTCTCTATCCTGTGGTCTTCAAAGCCTGAGCAGCTCCTTCTCAAAAGGGCTTGGATTATCTTTCCATCCAGGTTTGACTACTACACTTAGGCTGCTTCTTTCCCTTCATTAATTTCTTGCCTGCAGATGAGGGGCCACAACAATATCATAGTATGCATTAAAGAAATTACAGCATGTGTTTATATAGCCCTAGAAATCCTCTATGCACTTACAGACACAACTAAACCTAACAACATCTGGACCTAACGAATTGTACATCACATCTCCCTGTGCTTTCAGTGGAGACAGGAGCATACAGAGCACAGGCATGTTACATGTATTGGGAAAGGAGGTTTGTGGAAATGTGTATGCTCTGCTTTCACATCTTGGCAGTGGAGGCCGAGCAGCTTGATACTGAAAGGAAAGAAACAAGCATTATGATACAGTCAAACACCCTCCGGTCCAAATGAATACCAGTTGTTATCTGTCCCTGCTACTCCTTGCTCATCTGCCACTTCATTTTCCATCAAGTGGGAATTTCTTCCCACCTTCTGAGATGTCACAAACCACCATGTCCTCCTCCAGCTGCCTTTTATAGAAAGAAAGAAGCTATAAATGCATTCTGTAAAAAACCATAACTGCTTTTCCCTTGTGAGAAAAACACAACTTCTGTTCCATAAGTGCACAGTGCTCTCTTTTTATTGTTGTGGCTTTGAAAGACACACACAGATGCCTTTTATGATCTTAAGCTTTGGGTGGTGTATTTATGGAAACTCCAGTTTCTTAGCTCCATGCCAGCATAGCTAGGTTAAAGAAAAAAGAAGATTAGGCACTAATAAGATCTGGAGTCAGAGAGATCAAAGCATAAAGGCATAATTGCAGCTGGCAAAACAGTTCCTGGCAAGTGTTCCTAGGATGACAAGTGGCTCGTCTTTCCTGACACCCACCCTGAGCAGCTTTATACCACCTCTGGTGCCCTCCTGATAAGGAAGGAGGGATCCAGCTATAGAGAATAGAAAGATGAACAGGGGCAAAAACACCACTAGAAATCTGCTATGTTGGCAGCACTTTAGAAGCTACTGGATTAAACCAGGAATTAAACTTTCCCCAGACTTTTAAAAATGAAGGATTTAAATGAAACAGCATGTAAGCTCATATGTGAAATGCCAACTGAAGAAGACAGCCACTATAGCGGCATCTGGTGAAAAGGATGCTCCTATCAGACTCTGCAGCCAAGGAGACAAGATTCTTGGAGCTGGAGTGAAAGAAAGTGAGGAGCCTGGCTTCACAACTCAATCCTCGTGGCACTTGGCTGGAAGCAGGGAGTCTGACTGTTTTGACTACGAGTTAAGCTCCTTCGTCCTGATGCTTAGGCAACTCTGAATGTGTCCTACTGGGCACATGCAGGCCTGCAAATAAAAAGGTCAGGCTAGAGGCTGAAGGCTAGGGAGAAAATAGAGACAGGACTTCAATAAGCTGGATATTTCTGGAGAGGACAACAATTATTGTTATAATGCATTCTACTTCATTGCAGCAGTCAAAAGAGAAACAATACGTGACTTTTCCACCACTGTCGGTACAAAGGGACACTCAAGTGCACTAGCTGGTAAATAAACAGGTTCTTGAAAAGACGGGAGATAAAGGGAGAATGTTGAAGTCAGCCGGGAGCCATACTGAACCTTTGAAGGGATTAAGGAGGGCAAGCTGGAGGTCGCAGCAGATGCATACAAAACCCTCACAGGGCAAGTACACTACTGCTCTGCTGCACAGCCTACACTGCATGTTGTATTTCCAGCTCTCACCTACTGAGACTGGAAACCAGATGGCTCAAACTTATGCAGAAAGGAAACCTCCAAGGCACACAAATACTGTCTTTACAAATGTGTCTATTAGTTGAGGGTGCTGTAAGAAAGACTCCTGTATCAGTGTGAAAGCTCTAATAAGAATGTCTCTTCTGATAACAAAAATAAACCACATGACAGTAAGACGCAGTTTTGTCTCTATAAAACACCCTGAAGTAATCTCTCTAGTTGCACCTTTTTCACAGAGTCATCACTAAGGCTTATGGCAATTAATAGTCAGGCTGCCCCAGGCCCCCCAAAACGCTGCAGTGCATTGCAAACAGCACACGAGGACAATTTCTGTTGTGATGCTTGGTTTTCACATCAGGAAAACATGGCAACCTGAGTGCGTTAATTGAAATATCTTGAAATTATTTCTGTCTTCCTTAGCAAACTAAAAAGGAAAACACCAGTCAAAAGGAGGCTGTTGCTTAGTGATTTTAGCTGCACATTATATATGCTGGAAGAAGAAAAGGCCTCCTATTTTTTTTATGCAAAATGCTGAAAAGGTAACCTCCTCATCCTAACCTCCTCATCCAGGACATGGGTTCAAACAGCTCCTCAGCTTGAAATAATTATTTTTACCAATTCTATATTAAATAAATTGAATTCCATGTTTGCTATTGCCTAGGGAAAGGTCTTAACTATCCAAGGTAATTGTGGACTAGGGAACTTTTTATCTTTCCTGTTAAGAGTGTGTGTATATTCCCTTCTAAATATGGAAATTGTGATGGACCTGGTTTGGAATCATCTGACTCCTCCCAGCTACCTGATGCTTCTGTCCTTGATTTACATTCCAGGACCTTGGGGCACGAAAGCGAGCACCAAGGTACTCAACTGCATTTCTCATGGATTTTGCCCCTGTCAAATTCCCCAGGGTACCATTTTATTTGTCAGCTTCCTACTCACAAAGTAACAGCAAAGAGAAGTGTACAAACATCAATATCTGGTCTTTCCTCTTGCTTTCCCTTTTCCAGAGCTAGTGTCCTAGGGCTGGTGCCCAGGCAGATTTGGCTTCAGCTAGCTCAAAATCCCCAATGACCTCTTGCCTGTGAGATCTTGGCCAAATCACTGCATTCCTCTGAGCCTCTAATTTGACATCTACAATGCCAGGACAATAATCACAACTTCCATCCTGAAAACTCTTCAGATCTGCTATGCAGTCCCATCACCTCTATGAGATCTTTACACATAGATAACAGTATTCATAGAGCATGAATGACTGGGGTGTTAGTTAAATTTAGGGTGGCTCGTAATACCAATGACTCTTTCTCTTCTGTAGTGTCATATACTCAATCGTGATTCGAACCATCTGGATGAAGAGCAAAGCTCAGGCTGTCATTATATCGACCTGCCCTGGTGAGTCTCAGCACACACGTGTCTCCAGCCTTGTGATTCAAATATGGCAAGTCTCCCCAAATCTGGGAATGCCTGGACATGGAGTGTTGCACCCATCACTGCAGTGGAAATTGGGTTTCTGCAATTGCTCCTCCATAACTCTTTTCTGCATTATTTACCTTCTTTCCTCTGACACTAAATCCCCTTTAGCGAAAAAAAACCAAAAAACATCTGTGAGAAAATAATTAAAAAGCAAAAAATCCTTATTTTAGAACTAGAATCCTTATTCCTAGAACTTTGCCCATTTCCATAATATTTTTTTTCTAGACTATACTTACACCTACAGTTTGCTGTGTTTTCACATGCCCTTGAAAGTCTGGATTTTGGGCAAGATCAGAAATTCCTGGCTACAGAAAACTCTTTTACTAGCTGACCTGCTCTTTCCCCAGGTGGCAAAACCTCTGCTGGCTGCACCAGTCGTGGGTTCATATCCAAAGCAAAGGTTAAAGCGATCAAATACAGCATCGTAATTATCCTTGGTAAGTGAAAAGCCCCCACAGATGGTGGCTAGGGAGGATGTTGACATTTGGAAGCTGGTTTTCCTCAGCTACTTCCATCATCAGCACATAATGTGCAGTAGATGGCTCAGAGGACTTTTACCTTGACCCCCTCTTGCCTTCTGACCTTGTCCTTCCCCTCTCCTGTCTCTGATAAGATCCTGTTTTAGGCATCTGACATAAGCCTCAAATGAGGTTATAAGCGTAACATTTCACATGTATAAAGAAAATAAAGGAGGGATATTGCCTAAAAGGAACAAAGGAAGAGGTCATCTCCTTCCCATTCAGGCTGCCAAAATACTTGGTGCCTGAGTTGTCTTTTAGGCTTAGAGACTGTCTATGGTAGTTAGGTGCTGGGGTGGTGCAAGGGACAGGAAGGAGAGGAGAGGGGTGCGTTGCCTGCTGAGATGGAAAGGATGAGCTCTCCTTTCCTGACTGGGCAACAGATGACTCAGTGCAGGAGTCCTCCGTCTCCCAGGGAGATGACATTATTCTGATGGAATTAGGAGGATGACATTCTATCTGTATAAATAAAGGCAGCATCACACAGGGCTTGTGATTAGCTGCCAGAAACAGGCAGGAAGGCGACCGAAGCTATTTATTCCTGAGGGCTGACAGCCATCCCCTACCACTGAAAAAGAGATCGCTCCTCTTTCCGAGGACACACAGAATTCAGATTGGATGATATTGTAGTAATAGTTACTGCTAAGGTGCTTAGCTCACTGTTCAGTGAGACAGGGGAGAGGCCAGTCTGACTCATACTGTTCAGAAGCCCAAGAACAACTTCTCTGTGTCTGGGCTTTTCTGCATGGCAACCAGAGAAAGCTTTGGCCAGAAACAAATACAGCTGAAATGTCACCGGATGTTAAGAGCTGACCTGGATGCTCAGCATTTCAAAGGACTGGTGATATTAGGCACCCACCACCTCTTGGTGTGCAAACAGATCTAGGCACCTAACACTCATGGATTTCTTTAAAGCCACTCCAAGCTCTGCATAGTCAGTGCTATGATCCATGCACTGACACTGTGCATTGCAACTCTGCTGGTATCTGCTCATAGGCGCTGCCAGTTTGCTTACTCTAGAGAGCAGGAGAGGGGCTTACCTCTTCCTTGCACATTCAGTGGGTGCTCAGCTAACTGCCAAGGCAAAACCACTGATCACTGTGACAAGAAAACCAGCACAGGGTCACCCTGCTGTCCCATTTGGATGTCTGACTTCACAGATACCTGTACATCTGCAAACCAGGTACTTCGAGCTTAGTTGACTGCACTGTCTGTCCCAGCTTTTCTGTGTAAACCTTGAGGGAAAAGCCTTATGAAAGGAGATCACATAGAAATTTGTGAGGAACAGATTCATTCCCTATGCCTGCAAATAAAGCTAGATCTGTGGTCTTTTTCTTTCTACCACTGCCAAATGACACGTTGGTCTGCCATAATGTGGTGTGAAAGGGTGTCATTCCTTGCTCCTGGAAGTCTAAGAGGCTCTGTTTTAATAGGTGGCTGTGACAGCAGTGCTGTCACGGAGAGGCACTTTGGTGGTGTGTACATTTAGATTGGCTGCTCACTCAGGGGACCATTAAAAGAGCACTTCACTATAACTGATGATGTTTTAACTGGCTACCTATTTACCCTTTATGTGTTGTGTAGTGTTCAAAAGTGTCTTGATATGTCTAGAGGGAGCACTCTAAACACTTAGAGGAGCACACATAATATATTTTATGGGCATTAAAATAAAAATAAAGACAAATAAAGGCACAATCTAATAACTATTCTCTTAAATAAGACCCTGAATAAGGAGAGATGATTTTTTTTTTGCATGAACAAATACTTGTGTGTTATGGATTTGTGTGTTATGGAAGTCTCTCTATGCGTGTGTGATTACCTCTCTAAATAGCTGAACTATTCAATGTCAAGCTGTTCCTCTCTCTGTCTGTCTTGCAGCATTTGTTCTCTGTTGGAGCCCTTACTTTCTTTTTGATATCCTGGACAACTTCAAGATACTCCCTGAGACCAAAGAGCGCTTCTATGCATCTGTGATCATCCAGAACCTGCCAGCCTTGAACAGTGCCATCAACCCCCTCATCTATTGCTTCTTCAGCAACCGCCTCTGCCCCCCTTTTGAGTAATGCTCCTTTTATGTCACTCTGACTTTCCCCTAAGAAGGGAGGGAACACATAAACACAGTCCATACAACTATTTTTGCCTGGTTTAATCCTAACCATTCCTTGTTTTCTTTAGGGAAAGAAGAACTCAAAGGCTGGGTGGAACTTCCCGGGATAGGAGCAATGGAGGGCAGGAGATGCAGGTCCTGTCCAAACCAGAATACATCTAGCACAGACAATGCTCTGCAAAGCCACACTGGGACCTGTACCGAGGAAAGCAGAATTCCCCCTTGAGCCACTTGCATCAGAGATGGACATTGAGTGACAAGAGCTTGCATTGTGCTGCTCTTGAGCAGCACACATATTTGGGATCACCAATGCAGCTTCATCAATTGCATGCTGCCAGTGCCAAACTCAGTGTGAGGGGTTTGCATGCCGATGTTGGGAAGGTTCATCTTTGCCCTCTGTTTTTAAGCAAGCTGTAATATATATATATACACGTGTATATATATACACACCGTCTACTCAGAGTCTTCTCTATTTTTCAGGAGTCATTAAAAGCCATCTATGCTACCATCTGGCTCATATAAAGGGTACTCACAACTAATTGCAGAGCAGGGACCTTGCTTAAAATGGAAACGTGGGCACTTAACAACAGGAAGACACCACCATCGTTCTATGTAATTAGAGTGGTCTTTTGGGGACCTTACGGGGGGAGCTCCTACATGGGGCACTTTGTCAGCACAGACCAATCTCTCCATCCACACAGCAGCACCTACCTGACTCTTGCCCTGTGGAAATAACCCATGTTGCTTAAATTACGCAGGGAACTACACACATCTTTATACAACCTCAGAGGTAGAAAAAGACCTGAGTGAAACCATTAAACTCAAAGTATATTTAAGAAAAATCATCTGTTTATGGCTCAGTCTTAAGAACTCATTGTAGGGGTCCATAAAGCATGGGCAGTCAGGCAGAGCTCCCCTGCATGGCACCAAAGCAGTTGGGCATCCCTTTCCCCCAGCCCTTGGGGTATTATCCCATCCCACTGTTCTCAAGTGTAAGGAGAAACGTGCTCACCCAGGTTCAGTGGATGGGTGGGTGATACTGACCTCAATGCTCATTATAGTGCAAGGCAGCTTAAAGTGCTTGTATGATAATACACTGTAACCAGCTGTATGGCAAGTATCTTTGTTTCCAAAAATATCGTTTATTACTTAGGTGGAGTCAGATTAAATGTGGGTTTTTTTATTATGATGATTCTTTGCAGTAAGTTTGTTCTCTGCAAAACAAGAACTGAATAAAAATTATTTATAATTACCTAGATTACAGAGATATCTTTTCCTAAGTAGGAGATACATAAAACCATGGTGCTTTATGTTCTCTAGAAAACAAATAAGGTATCACTTATTACTTGAAGTTCTGTTATGCCTCAGTTTTGGTGGCTGCTTAATTAAAACCATGAATCTAAACCAGCTTTTACAGCAGTAACCTTGGATAGACTGTATATAAGAACTAGACAACGCTTCCACGTGGGTATGCTTTAACTTTCCCAAAAGTAGGCTGCCCAGTTTAAGCCTCATTGTGACATAGATTTTGGTTGTTAAGTTTTTCATCTGACACATATACAATGGATAACCAAGTTTTGAACAATTAATGACATTTGTAGCCTTACTACCTGGAAATGAGATAACATTTCTGAGCAGTACTTTGATTTGCAAATTTAACATGACTCAATCCCACTAAAATTTACATATTTTTCACTGGGGTTATAACATGAATTATGTCATCTAAATTAAACATATGCATGAGTAAGTGTAAGACTCTAGCCTTAAATGAAGTCATTATTCATTTATTTGCAATGAAACAGTCTTCTCATGTCATTCATTATCTTATTATGTACCATTTACATGTTGCTCATACCCTTTTGCCTCTGGACATGACTGTGATGGCCATCCTCATATGAGGATTTTTCAGTATAAATGGCCTCACACCACTTTCACCTGTATCCCTTCCCAACACTTAAACACAGAAATGATTTCTCATCCTCTATCCTGCTTTCTTCCTGTGCAGGAGATAGCATTTTATTATCTTTTCATACTCCCTAAAATTTTCTTGTAAAGAAACAGAAAAAAATCAGAGTTTTTCCATCTCCCATGAGAAAGATTTAGGGAATTTCATCTAACTCCAGTAGGTTTCTCATTCATTTTCTGCATCTGCAATTTGTTCTACTTCTGTTGGCTGGTGCTTGAAGGTGACAGAATTGGTACAAAAAGAACCCACACCTACAAAGAGATTCTGAATGCAACATGAAGAGGGTACCCAGCTTTTTCTTTCATGATAGCCCATGAAGAATAGTGTTTTTCATCAGCTGTAACACTTTGAGATGCATCCATGAGATACTTCTGACATCCCAAAGCAGCCAGAAATATTTGTATGTATGACTATTGGGACATAAAATCCTCTACGATAATAAAGTCCTGTCTGATTATAGAATCCCAAGAAGAATGAATCAGAATCTCATCCTTCAGAGAAGTCACATCAAATAGCACAGGACTAGGATACTTTTCAAAATTACACATTAATTCAAGGGAATAGAAAATGTGCGCTTTTTGTGACAGTTTCAAATAAAGCCTGAATGAGAAAGCTGTTTAACTTGCTCTTGGACATTTTTTGATGTAATTTAAAGTTCAATTCCCTTAGTCCAGATTTCCATCTGTTGCTAGCACTGTTTTCTCTTTCATCTTGGTTTTGCGTTTGAAATTTCTGTCCCTTTTTTATTTTTACTTTGAAAAAAAACTAATGCAAGACAGCAAAAATTAAGCATCCGAATCGTTGGGCAGGTATACTCTAATAATGCAGTGGAATTATTCCACATTGCAACCATGGAAGAAGAGCAAAACAAAAGCATTTTGCATCCTCCTGCATGCTGCTGACCAAGCATTTAGAGGTGTAGACCTCTAAATTATAATAATAATAAATATAATAATGATAACATAATAATAGAATAGTTAGACCATCATGAGACAGGTTAGTTTTGCCCTACTGATGATGTGTTGTTGCAATAGTAATCCTCCTCAGTACAAGAGGAACCGCAGGTTCAGACCCCTGGGGTGTGCGCATGGCTGAGGAACCACTGGTGCGAGGCTACCATCTGCGGGCTTATGACTGAACGCCTCTAAGTATCCTGCCTAGACACTGCCTGTGCTACTGCCTCATCGGTCGCTTGTGATTGACTCTGGAGATGACAGTCTTGTTCAGAATGAGTGGTTGAAGGTCTTCCTGAATCTTCGTTAGCAAAGACAGGCCTTCCTCATAGGAGAGGAAAACTCCTATCACCAAACCTGGGCTGATGGAGCTCGTCTGGCCTTGTATGGGCTTCCATTAGAGAAGGACACTCTTACAAAACCTACGACCTGAGGAGTTTGCTGTCACCATCCTAGCTAGCCAGGCCATGGCAGTCAAACCTCAGGTGTAAAGGGTGGGGCCAGTTCTGCACAAGCTGCACTTCACCTAAAAAATCCACTGCGCAGGCTGGAAGGGCTTACTGTCACTTGTCTGTTTGGACAGGCGAGGGTCGAAACGGTAGGTGACAAGGTGCAGGGGAAGGTGCAGATCCAACCTTGCATGCGGGCGGACCAGTGCATGGGTAGCTCAAAATTGCTCAGGAGATGACAGTCCTGGTCAGACACTCCCTGATTACCTAAGCACCATTTTTTCCAACCAGATTTGCATATCCCACTTGCCCTTGGTCATCATGCTTATAGCAAGCATGGTTAAAGCCTTCCCAAATCTTTGCTCGCGAAGCCAAGCCATCAATCAATCAATAATAGTTATAATTCTTATTATATTATTATCAGTCAAAACAAAAGGAAGACACTGTCTGGTTGCTTGTAGGTTTGGAGGGGTTTTTTTGGAATATATCTATCATGGGAAAATAATTAGACCTTTAGATATGATGCAGGATGTTTTGACTTCACACACCTCTAAGACTTCATTCATGAAGTCTCATACTCTACAAGTTACCTAGACATTTAAATATGAATAGTTTTAGTTGGAATCAGGTACATAAATGTCATTACAGAAGCGGACTTAGCACAATAGGTTTTTAGAGTACTGGCTATTGCAATTATCAGACCCCTACTGATAGCAGTCTCTAAGAAGGACACGTAAGCAGAAGAAGCGAAAGTAAGTCCAGTGCTTTTCTAGATCAAGTCCTGGGATTTGAATATCAGAAAGATTTATAACTATTCGAATTTCATATTTCTTGACACTGCAAGGTGCAGGAAATGGGAAAAAATCCTCTCAAACCACGGATCTCTATGTGAAACATAGGAACAGATGACTCAACTGAAAAGAACATTTTCAAAGTGACTTTGGAAGAGAATTTCTCAAGATATGAATGCTTTGGGGTAACTCTGACCTGCAATAACTAGGAATAGTCTCCCGGCACTCTCTTTACAAGGAATACACTTGCCAGCAAGTTGCCTAGTTCTGTGTCCCTACAGAAAGTTCTACCTTGTGCTTGTGCTGATTTGTTTCAGACAAGAACCCAGAAGGCATCACTCTACCTGTCACTTCACCTTACCCCTCACAATGGCTGCATGTACTCTTCAGAAACACTTGATGGAAACAGAACAAATACAAGAGGAAGAAATTGCAGAAAGCACATCAAAAAGTGTATATACGCTATGGGCACAAGTGCCTTCTTTCAACAGAGGAATGATTTCACAGATAAAAATAAACCACTGCAGAAGCTTTCTGTCTTCACCTTCCAACCCAAAGCCTGGTGCTTACAGGAGCAGAGATTTAATTCATCAGCCTTGGGAAACATGATTGATTTGGGGAGTAAATGCAATTTTTAGTGTAAGGTAAAGTATGTCTCATATTCTTTGGTAAACTGTAATTTATTTTACACAGCATTCAATTTAGGTAAGCATTATAGCTGAATGGCTCATTGGATAATCTTTTGTCATGTTTGATGGCATCTTATTCTAAGTACGCGTAAAATATGGGCATAGAGGGTTAGCCATATAAGTGCAGGCATGATTTTACAAATAGACTTCACCGATTCCTCTGGCTGGGTTGGTTATAGTGGTACCTAATTAGAAGCTTACCTGTTAATTTAAACTTGAGCAAACCAAATGAAAATGGGCTAAAATTAAGCAGCTTCAATAAATGCAGCAAAAAATGGAGAGAGTCTGAGGCATCGCATAAAAAATATTGCATGATCTTGAAAACTCAAACAGCAGAAATGAGGTGAAATGCACCATGCTGTGTGCTAATAATCAATTGCAGCAAGTATGAGAAATCCTGCTATACACTGGGAGCTCATCAGCTGGAAATATCTGAACAGAAGAAAGCCTTGAGTATGTTCATTGGCCAGACGATGCCTTCTTGCTGATGACAATGAGGCCAGAAGGGTCAGGGGGCTAATATGATCCCAACATGGACATAGTGGTGCGTTTGTGAGAAGAGCTAAGGCTGAGCTAGTGTCACTGTTGCCTTCTG